ATATCCGACCCGCACGACAGCAATACCCCAATGTCCAAGTTCGATAACATCGCCGCAGTCTTGAGACACAGGGGCAAGACGATGGCGAAGCTGCCCGCGTACTGGGTGCTGGACAGCAAGGGCAAAGAAATTGCCTCCATCACGTGGGACAAACTTGCGTCAAGAGCCGAGAAGGTGGCACAGGTCATTCGGGATAAGAGCTCGCTGTATCGCGGCGATCGCGTTGCCCTGATTTACCGCGACACAGAAGTCATTGACTTTGCCATTGCTTTGCTGGGGTGCTTCATCGCTGGCGTCGTCGCAGTACCGATCAATGATTTGCAAGACTACCAGAAGCTGAACCTGATTCTCACATCGACACAGGCGCATTTGGCACTCACGACGGACAATAACCTCAAGGCCTTCCAGCGCGACATAACAACACAGAAGCTTAACTGGCCCAAGGGCGTAGAATGGTGGAAGACGAACGAGTTTGGCAGTTTCCATCCCAAGCGCAAAGACGATGTCCCGCCTTTGACAGTACCAGACTTGGCATATATCGAGTTCTCCCGCGCGCCTACGGGTGACCTGCGAGGCGTGGTGCTGAGTCACAGGACAGTCATGCACCAGATGGCTTGCTTGAGTGCCGTCGTCACGACAGTACCAGGGAACGGTCCCGGCGATACCTTTAGTCGAACTTTGCGCGACAAGAATGGCCGGCTCATCGGTGCTGGTGCGACCAGCGAGACGCTCCTTTCATACCTCGATCCTCGACAGGGTATTGGCATGATTCTGGGTGTCCTTCTCACCGTTTATGGCGGCCACACGACTGTTTGGGTTGAAAATAAGGCCGTTGAAGTGCCGGGTCTCTACGCTCATCTAATCACCAAGTACAAGGCTACACTCATGATTGCCGACTACCCCGGCTTGAAGCGTGCCGCCTACAACTACCAGTCGGATCCTATGACAACTCGAAATTTCAAAAAGGGCATGGAGCCCAACTTCCAAACGGTCAAACTTTGCCTAATTGATACCCTGACGGTTGATGGTGAATTTCACGAAGTACTAGCGGACAGATGGTTGAGGCCACTAAGAAACCCACGAGCGCGCGAGGTTGTCGCGCCAATGTTGTGTCTGCCTGAGCACGGCGGCATGGTGATCAGTATTCGCGACTGGCTGGGAGGCGAAGAGCGGATGGGCTGCCCCTTGAAGTTGGACATGGGCTCCGATATCGATTCCGACGAAGAAGAGAAGGAAGAGGTGAAGCTTGCGCCCTCAAACGGATTCGGCAGTCTCTTGGGAGGCGGCGGCACCACCACCACAGAGCAGCGCGCTAAGAACGAACTGAGTGAGGTGCTCCTCGACAGAGAGGCGTTGAAAACGAATGAAGTTGTGGTAGTAGCAATCGGGGACGAAGCGCGAAAACGAGCTGCTACCGAACAGGGCACTGTTCGTATCGGTGCCTTTGGATACCCTATACCCGATGCCACCCTCGCCGTCGTCGATCCGGAAACCGGCTTGTTGGCATCACCACATTCCGTCGGTGAAATCTGGGTGGACTCGCCGTCACTATCAGGAGGCTTCTGGGCTCTACCAAAACACACGGAGCAAATATTCCACGCCCGGCCTTACAAGTTTGATCCCGGCGAGCCAACACCCACGGTAGTAGAGCCCGAGTTTCTGAGGACCGGTCTGCTAGGCACAGTCATCGAAGGCAAGCTCTTCGTACTTGGCCTCTACGAGGATCGCATTCGTCAAAAGGTCGAATGGGTCGAGCACGGCACCGAGGTAGCCGAGTACCGGTACTTCTTTGTCCAGCACCTCGTCGTCAGCATCGTCAAGAATGTGCCCAAGATTTACGACTGCTCTGCCTTTGACGTATTCGTCAACGAGGAGCATCTGCCAATTGTTGTCTTGGAATCACCAGCTGCGTCCACCGCACCTCTGACTTCAGGCGGGCCGCCCAGGCAACTCGATACTGCGCTGCTTGACTCTCTCGCCGAGAGATGTATGGACGTACTCATGCAAGAACACCACTTGAGACTTTACTGCGTCATGATCACGGCACCAAACTCTCTGCCCAGAGTAGTCAAGAACGGGCGTAGGGACATCGGAAATATGCTCTGCAGAAGAGAGTTTGACTTGGGTAACCTGCCCTGTGTTCATGTCAAGTTTGGTGTTGAGCATGCCGTGCTCAACCTCCCCATTGGAGTTGACCCTATCGGAGGCATCTGGTCTCCCATTTCATCGGACTCGCGTGCTGGAATTCTCATGTCATCCGACAAGCAATACTCGGGTATCGACCGAAGGGAAGTTGTCATTGACGATCGCACTTCAACACCGCTGAACAACTTCTCTTGCATCACTGACCTGATCCAATGGCGCGTTGCCCGTCAACCCGAGGAACTCGCATACTGCACCATTGACGGTCGTGGCAGAGAAGGCAAGGGCGTGACTTGGAAGAAGTTCGACACCAAGGTTGCCGCCGTGGCTCTGTACCTGAAGAACAAGGTCAAGGTTCGCCCTGGCGACCACCTGATTCTGATGTACACGCACTCCGAGGAGTTCGTCTACGCCGTTCATGCCTGTATCAACTTGGGCGCGGTTGTAATTCCTCTGGCTCCTCTAGATCAGAACCGACTTAACGAGGATGTGCCGGCATTCTTGCATGTCGTTGCCGACTTCCGTGTCAAGGCCATCCTGGTCAACCACGAAGTTGATCACTTGGTCAAGCTGAAGCTGGTTTCCAACCACGTCAAGCAGGCGGCTTCCATCCTCAAGATTGGTGTGCCGAACTACTACAATACCACCAAGCCGCCAAAACAAAGCAGTGGCCTGCGCGATAATGGCATTACCATGCAGCCAGCCTGGATCCAGACTGGTTACCCTGTCATCATCTGGACGTACTGGACGCCCGATCAGCGCCGCATTGCGGTTCAGCTTGGACACGATACTATCCTGGGCATGTGCAAGGTCCAGAAGGAAACTTGCCAGATGACAAGTTCCCGCCCGGTGCTGGGATGCGTGCGTAGTACCACTGGTCTCGGTTTCATCCACTCATGCTTGATGGGTATCTATATCGGCACCCCCACATACCTTCTCTCGCCTGTCGAGTTTGCCCAAAACCCAATGTCGCTGTTTGTGACTCTTTCTAGGTACAAGATCAAGGACACCTATGCGACGCCACAAATGTTGGATCACGCCATGGCCACGATGCAGGGCAAGGGATTCACGCTTCACGAGCTCAAGAACATGATGATTTCGGCCGAAAGCAGGCCACGTGTGGACGTGTTTCAAAAGGTACGGCTTCATTTCGCGGCTACTGGCCTCGACCGAACCGCCATCAACACTGTCTACTCTCACGTACTCAACCCTATGGTTGCATCGAGATCTTACATGTGCATTGAGCCTATTGAGCTCTGGCTGGACACAAAGGCACTGCGCCGCGGCCTGATATACCCCGTAGATCCCGAGCAGGATCCTAAAGCGCTTCTGCTCCAGGACTCCGGTATGGTGCCTGTTTCTACACAAATCGCCATTGTCAACCCCGAGAGCCGACTGCTCTGCCACGATGGAGAGTACGGAGAGATTTGGGTCGACTCGGAGGCTTGTGTCAAGGCATTCTACGGCTCAAAGGATGTGTTTGACGCCGAGAGATTCGACGGTCGTACCGTTGATGGTGATCCCAGCATCCAATACGTCCGCACGGGCGACTTGGGTTTCTTGCATAACGTCAGCAGGCCTATTGGCCCTGGAGGCGCTCAGGTTGATATGCAGGTCTTATTCGTTCTCGGCAACATTGGAGAGACGTTTGAGATCAATGGTCTCAGCCACTTCCCCATGGATATCGAGGCCTCTGTGGAACGGTGCCACCGCAACATCGTAACTGGTGGATGGTAAGTTCGATAGCCCCCATTAGTAGAGTCCGTCATGCTAAACACACACAGCGCCGTCTTCCAAGCTGGAGGTCTCGTCGTTCTGCTGGCCGAGATCACACGAAAGGCATACCTCGGTTCTGTGGTGCCAGTCATCGTCAACGCGATCCTGAACGAGCACCAGATCATTGTCGATATCGTCGCCTTCGTTAATAAGGGCGACTTCCCGAGATCGCGTCTCGGCGAGAAGCAGCGCGGTAAGATTTTGGCTGGTTGGGTCACACGTAAGATGCGTACCCTCGCACAGTTCGCCATTCGAGACATGGACCCCAACAGCATCGTTGGTGGCGACCCTGGTGCAGATGACCCCAACCCTCACAGGGCCTCTGTTAGTAGCCAGAGGAGCATGACCATGAGCGGCCTGGCGCCTGGCTCTTCGAGCCTGCGTAACGTCGAACACGCACCGCAAATCCTGGAGCAGGAAGAATTCGAGCATCAGGTCGGACAGATGGCAGCTCTCCCCCCGCAAAACCACGATGGTATCGCGGAGATGCCCGGTGACGAAGGTCCTGCGTTTGCACAGCAAGCGAATGCGCCGCCGGGCCACGGCTACGTCTTGCCAGACTTTGATTCCTTTGGTCGCGAAGATGGTGGTCCACCGCCTGTGGGTGCCAAGCCAGGCCAGACCCCGCCGACGATCCACCTCCCCGGAGTCGATGGCCGAGAGAGCATGGATTTGTGGAAGAATCAGCAGGGCGGCGGTGGTGGCCAGAGTGAAGAGGACTGGACGGCCCAGGCCCTAATGCATATGAACCTCGCCAACGACCTGGAGAGAAAACAGGGCCAGCAGCATTGAAAGAGGCGGTCTTTCAAACAGAACCAAATCTCTTCTATGCTGATTGTTTTTCCTTCTTTTTGTTAGCATACGGGTCTTGGGAGGCATTAGCTGCGGGCGTCTGTGGGCGTCTCTGAACTCATGGATACACTGGTCTCGCGGCATAGGAGGTAGTGTTTGGATAGAGGATTATCCTGTGCATAATCACTTGAACCTGGAGAAAAGATCATTCTTAATTCATTCTCATCCACTTCACGCAGTTTCGTTTGTGACTTCATAGGATGTCCTGTCGTCCTCAGTGATGTTATTCACTACCTCGGATTCCTCATGCTCTCCTGGATGAAGCTTGATTGAACAACAATTGACCCCCCATTGATATTCTCCTCGGACCCCGACCCAGTGGACAGATTCTTGACCCTGCCAGATCCAGCCGTGATTCGATTTGTTAGTCCAATCTCGTCATCCGACTCCCCGCCCAACTTGCCGTCGCCCCCTCCCCCGCCAAAGTTGAACCTTGACCCGCCGTACGTGAACAGGGCACCCGTACCATTTTGAGAGCTGCTGTTCTTTCCTCCACTGGCGCTCTGCTTCGATTTCAATCGCCATGGTGCGCTGTTAGATGAGGGCCCTCCACCTCCGGCATTACCACTGGAGTGGCCCAGGGAAGATGAGATTTTGTGGCGGACGAGGCGACGGAGGGGCGCGAGGTGCGGGAGGCAGGCGGACACGATTGCGATCGAGGGTTCGATTGCGGACCAGATGAAGACGGGGCCCATTTGCCAGGTTATGTCGAGAGCGCGGGAGAAGGTTGAGAGGTGGGTTATGCGGACTATACTTGCTACGCAGACGCTGGATGGGGGTTTTGGATTAGTATGGACCGTCCTGTAAGGGCATCGATTATCTCTGATATTGGGAATATGTGTACTGGTGGTGAGGGTGGGTGAGGAGAAGATGGTCGTGTCTTACAAACTTCCAAGCAACATGATGCTACAAACAGCGGCCTTTTTCCTGCCCGACATTTGCAGCTTTAAGATCTGCGGGATGGGAATCAAGAGGACAATGATATCGTTGACCATGTTGATGATGGCGGGGGCGAGGTAGAAGCTATTGATGTCTATGCATCTCCCCTGTTCACCCACAAACTGGTTCCAGTAGAACGAGAGGGGGCGACACGCGTTGGCCATGGTGGTCCAGATGATGATGGGGTAGGCTATGGAGAGGACGTACCCTGCGATGAGGGAGAATTTGAAGGACGAGGAGGAGGCGGTGGAGAGGAGGAAGATGCGTTGGTAGAAGAGGAGGATGGAGATTTTGGTGGCGGCGCAGGCTGTGCCGTAGATGAAGGTGTAGGCGTAGAGGATCTGTGGTTTTGGGGAGTTAGTATGAATGTGAAGTTCCGAGTTCGCTGAGGGTTTGCATTTCTTCCGAGGAGGATATTGATTAGAATAGAATCAAGGAGGGGAAGCCTACTTTAAAGACTTGTGTTAGGTCTTGAGGTGTGAATGACCAGACGTGATTTCCCGCACCGTAAGCCCCGCCTGCGATGCTTAAGCCGACGGTGGCGCCTACGAGGAGCTGTGATGATATGTTATTAACATCGTGAGCCTATTCACAAATTATCTCACATGGGAAAGTACTTGAGTAAGTTCTTACCAGTGAGAGAAGAATTGTCCAATCATCCGCCTTCAGGCTGTGACCTTGAAGAAACCTCGCCATCAGCCGGAGCACCACGGCCACGGAGGCTAGCACGGCTAGTATTATGACGGCGGCATTATTGCGAGCGACGCTGCTTTCTGAAATATCGAGATCATCTGGAGGTGGACCGAAGATGGCGATGATGTTGGGATCAGGTTCCATTATCGATGACCAGAGAGATGTGACGGTGGTGTGAAGCAGGAAGGGGGGGACCGATATCACCACATTGCAGGAATGCAAGGAACTTTCATTTCCTTGGGCGACGTTCTCTACTCTGAGATCCTCAGAGTCTGCTTTTCTTCATGGGATCTCAAAAATGAGTCGAAGAATCGTTGCGGCACAGGTTGGTGTGCCAGGAGGTGCAAAAAGGAAATATGATCCACGTTGGAGGAGTTGGACGTGTCCTTCGGATACCTTCCGACCAAGGTAAACCCGTGGTATTCTCAGCTACTCTGCGTACCTCACGATTCTCCACCGTGATGCTTCCGTGCACCGTTGCATTCACGTTGGACCAACGGCCTAGTTTCGTCTGCATCCAAAGAGCGCAGGGTTCATAATGCTGTTGGTACTGGGCAGACAGGCCCGGAATTCCGCATGGCCTGATGCTTCCCGCTCTGGCTCGCCAAAGAGCCAACAGTGTGGATCGTTTCTGATTTCTTCCGTTCAAGGATTATATGCACAGACGGGGAAGTTGTTGTTGGAGAGCATGTTTGCGTACTTCGCAATTCCCCTGGAGTCTTGACACTTCATCTTCGTTGGTGCGCGTCCCGCGCATGCAGGAACAGGAGTATAATGAGCGGGCGTTGATGGCAAACTCACTTTTCTGGTGAAGTGCCAAGTTTGCCACCGCTCAGCAAGACTTTGATGTGACTGAATACCCTCGTTGCCAAAAAGCCATGTTTGCTTCAAAGCGCAAAATGGTGACTCTAAAATGAGATGGCGCAGGTATCTCTAGAAAGGGAAGACGGGTGAACGTCGCAAGCCAGGAGCCGCTGATCCTGCCGCCCTTTACTTACGGGCCGTCTGACTGCTTTGTCTCGGGGAACCAAGGGTACGAGTCCCGCATACAAGGATTAGAATATCACATGCGACTTCCTCTCCATGGTCCACTTGTATTTGAATGACAGACATATCCAGCATGCTGGCCGATGATGGAAGTCTTCGTAGCACGAGAATACCTATGAACCCGTATATAAGTTAGAGTATCAATTAAGTCCGCGTTAGATGTCCTTGAGTCTTCGACTGGATCTCGAGCTTAGGATTATCAAGGTCAAATGAGCCTTTTTTTCATGGCTCCTATTACTTGTGGAGTGAAGGAGGCCGATCCTGGTTCTTGTTGGAACCGGGGCCATGAAGGACAGAGCAGGGTCAACAGTCTATCTCACCCCGTTGAGGCAGGGAAGAGAGTACCAGCAGGTTTCTGTCTCTGGTACTAAGCCTCCGAAAGGAGCATCTCAATGCAGGTCCCCTAGAGCCATTGCCTCCGTTGCTGGAGAGTTGCAATATGATATGACCTGATTTGAATGTATGGATGCGGCGCGGTCAACATGCGTTGCATAGTGGTCTGGAGCGTACGGACAAAGACATAGCGATGGTCTACAAGGGTCATATATAATGACAGTCGCCATTCTCGGATGTTTTGCTGTTTAGCTACCAGAATGCTCTTCTAAGCTGAAGGCTTTTGCACCAAGTTCTCGCACATTAACAGCTATGGGTTCCTTGTCAGGCTTCACAGAGATCCCGGATCTCACGCCCCTCGAGCGTATCGGACCCAAAGGCTACCTTCGATATGTCTTCCCTTTCCAGCTCCCCGAAGATTACAACCTCGATCAAGCTGCTTCTATTTTGCGCGCAGGGTATGAAGCCGCGCAACAGCGTATCGCTGTTTTGGGGTGTGAAGCCGTCCCAAACCCAGATGCCAAGCAAGCCGGCGTCTTGAAGCTTCAGAAACTCCGTCATGGAGACATTGAAGGCATCACCGTCAAGGACCTTCGAGCTTCCGGTACGTTCCCCATGACGTACTCGGAGCTCAAATCCAAGAACTTCCCAGTGGCTTCCTTTGATGCAAATACTATCTGCCGGCGCTCGGTATGGGCAACACCAGACGAAAGACTGCCCGTATCTCTTCCGCAAGCCAACTTCATCCAAGGGGGCCTGATTCTATCCTGGTGCATCTTCCACATGTTTGGAGACGGGAAGACGTTCCTGATCTGGACCAAGATCTGGGCAGAAGAGTGTCGCAGAGCCCAAGGCCTCGAGATCATAGACCCTTTTAAGCTGGATGAGGCGTTCCTCAGAGACCGTCAACGCATCATGAGCCCAACCGGCAAGAACCCGGGCCGTGCTGAAGACCACCCAGAGTACACCATCATCCCCTTCACGCCCGAGGGCATGCCGCCGAAGATCCTTTCCGAAGATCACCGCGGCCAAATCTTCTACTTCTCGCCCGAGGCCCTGGCCAGACTCAAGGCCGAAGCATCTCCAGAAAATGTAACGGAACCCACGAAGCAGAGATGGGTCTCCACCAACGACGCGCTCTCGGCGCTGCTCTGGCGTACCGTCATGGCGGTGCAGTCACCCCTCGAAACCCTCGAGGGCGACCCGGTGTCAGTCTTCAACATCGCCGTCGACGCTCGCCTGCGTACGGACCCGCCGGTGCACCCGGAGACTATGGGCTGCTTCCTCGGCTACGTGGCGGCTTCGGCGCCGATCCGCAAAATGCTCGGCTCGGCGTCCTTGGCTGACTTGGCGATTCTGGTTCGTCAGGCGTTGATTCGTGCCGATAGCCAGTTTGTCGATGATGTAGCTACGCTCATTGACACGGTGGAGGATGTGAACCGTATCATCCCTACGGCTCTCTTGGATGTGCCCGGTAACAACTGCATTCAGACATCATGGGTCAACTTCTCCCTGTATGACGTGCAGTGGGGACCGGTGCTGGGCGACACGATCCAGGCCGTTCGCGCGCCGCATGTTGGTGTGATCAACGGGTTGCAGGTCGTCATGCCTATTTTGCCGGACGGTGGGATGGAGATCCTTGTGGGTGTTGAGAAGAACTGCTTGGACAGGTTGTTGCATGAGCCATTGTGGATGAAGTATGCAGAGACGAGGTAAATGGAAAACAGTAGTATCACTAGTTGGGTGTATAAATGAGTTATGTGACAGACTGCGCCAGTTATTTCTAGCTTGACTAACAGTGTTTTCTGCAGTACGGGTTGTCATATGGTGCGGTGGTCTCCCCAAAATTTTCGATGATCTCACCCAATATGCACTTGTTTCAGATCAAGACTGTACCAGACTCAAGCAAAGTCCGGAAGCTCTTGTCGTCGAATCAAAGACAAGCGAAGTTTCCGCGTGAGAATTACATCAATCAGCTTTTACACGGCTCTTCTTCGTGAAATAGCCTCTCAATTTGAATATCCGCCGCAACTAGACGATACAGCTTTTAGACCGAAAGTTCGCTCGATCTCCATTCTTTAATATCCCTCGTTTTGACACGAGGACTAGTATTACATCCGGCTCATGCCACATAGATCCTCAACATCCCACCGGCCTCTCTGGTCTCCAAAGAAACTTTTCATTCTGTTAAAATGGATCAGGGACTTTTACCAAACTTAAATCGTAATGAGATTTACTGAAAATGTTTCGAAACGGGAAGAGTAAGGCCTGGGGTAAGTATACGGTCCTTCTGAGCCCTTTTCTTTTCTTTACCGGCATTCAGCTAGAAAAGCTCGCTGAAACTCGTCCGAGTCAGCTTGCTCAACTCCTATTTGTCCACACATTAGAACCAACGTGAGTGCGCCGGGTAAAGTATCTGAACCATATTCTGCTGTAGCCGTTTGAATGATAAAATCTTCTGTCATCAACGAATCGGATGGATTACTTACGTTTGGTGTTTGTCGTCTGAAGTTATACGAAGCATTTCGATCTGAGTGGATGAGAGGACTCAGACAAGACATGGATATGAACTCAGATTTGAGTTCACCGGGGTCCGAGATTGGTGCCGCATAAAGCTGTTGATGGCGATAAACTCAAAACCCCCTGATGGCCCCTCAACGGGCAATACCCATCGGCTCCCGCCCCCCAAAGCAGGTATTAGAGATGAGGATGGCCTTTGGTCATGTCGATTGAAGGTCTTCACTGATTGTTGTCTTCATTTTCCGTGTAGCCTCGTTAGAGGATCTTCCAAGTCACTCGTTATTGTCACTCTTTTCAACCATGTTCAGCAAAACCATTGTGGCAGTCATCCTGCTGTTCGGAGGCGTTCAATCCCACCGGCACCATGGATTCCACAGCCACAGCGAAATGCGACGCTCGTTCATCCATAACGCAAGGGCAGATGGAGAAGCAGCGAGAGGAGGATCAGACAACGTTTTCGTGAAAATTTCTCACGACCGACCAATTCTAGTTCCGTCGAGAGCAGATCACCCACAGAAACCTGTCGGAGTCGATAACAACGACAACCCCATCCAAACCAACAAGTTCTACGCCAACTTCTTTGCCAACAACCAAGACAACGCGACATGGACTCACCCTTACTCCGTCTGGTGGTCTAACGATACCGTCAAACAGGGCCACGGCTTGTCTATCTCCCATACGGATCGGCGCAACTTTATCTACGGGCCTGGCGAGCCCGTCCAGTCTTTCGAGGATCCATTCTTTGACCAATCTATTGCGCTTTCGGCGCGGGAGCTGCAGAATAGAACGGTTTTGACTACGGACACATTGACAGCATTCTCCGCCAATGTCAACCTTGCGACAAGAAAAGGCGCCAAACCGATTGTCTCATTTCCCGTAGTTCAGGGCATGGCTTTCGTCACAGGTGTTTACAACGACGCCACCGTTCTCATTCAGTCTCAAAAGCACTTTTCAAACATCACCGACCTTCGTCTGAGTTCCAATGGTCTTGGAGCCACAGTGTATGGGTGGGATGCGCGGTTAGGCGATGGATCAAGCTGGTTGATTTACATCAACCCAACTTCCATGTCTGAGAGACCAACTCTTCGGATGACTGGTAAAGGAACCATTTTGGGACCAAAGCAGTTCACGGGAACTGTTCAAGTCGCCAAGAATCCAGCAGGTAAAGCCGGTATCGACATCTTTAGCAAGGCTGCTGGAGCGTATCCAGTTAGCGCCACGCTGTCGGGCTCTGTCTCTGGCAAGACTGGAACTTACACCTTGGCGTGGGAAAAGAAGGGGATAAAGGAACGGTCACTTCTCATGTTTGCTCTGCCGCATCATGTCAAGTCATTTGACCAAAAGACAGCCAGGGGTCTGACGAACATCACCTTGGCGAGTACGACCAAGGGAATTGCCACGGCTACGCTTGCGGACGAGTTCACCATGGTGGAGCCCGAGCTCCCGACGGATATGGGTTTCGACCCTTGGTCGCCTCGTCTTGGATCAGTGGGGTCCGCGGGCTCAGCGGCAATCGTTTCCGAAGACGCCAAAGCCGCAATCATTAATGCAGCAAAGATCGAGCTTGCTCGGGACATTACAACCCTGACCAACTTGACGTCCAAGTATTACGCCGGAATCGCCTTTTCGGTTTACGCCAGGGCGATTTATGCTGTCAACAACATTGCCGGAGATACTTCATTCACAGCCAGCTCACTCACCAAGCTTGAGGCTGCGTTTGATCGGTATGTCAATAACCAGGAGCCGAACCCCCTATTCTACGATGACGTGTGGAAAGGCCTGGTCTCTTCTGGGTCGTACGGCAACAACGACTCTTCGATTGACTTTGGTAACACGTATTACAACGATCACAACTTCCACTACGGCTACTATGTGTATGCTGCTGCAATCATTGCCCACTTCAACCCCTCTTGGTTGACAAAGAATGACGGCCTCAACAAGATTTGGGTCAACAATTTGATTCGTGACTGGTCCAACCCATCTACCGAAGACCCTTTCTTTCCCTTCTCACGAAACTTCGACTGGTTTCATGGCCATAGCTGGGCCAGAGGTGTGCTCGAAGCACCGGATGGCAAGGATCAGGAGTCCTCAGCGGAGGATGCTTTCTCGACGTACGCGATCAAGATGTGGGGCAAGGTGATCGGAGACGCCAAAATTGAGGGCCGAGGCAATCTCCAGCTGGCCGTGACGGCACGCAGTCTACAGTCGTACTTCCTCTTGGCGAGCGACAACGATGTGCAACCGCCCAACTTTATCGGAAACCGCGCCACTGGAATTCTCTGGGACAGGAAGATCAACCACACGACGTACTTTGGCGACGAAATTGCCTTTATTCAGGGCATTCACATGCTGCCAATTGTGCCGAGCAGTGCGTATGTACGAAAAGCATCCTTTGTGAGAGAGGAATGGGATCAGTATTTTGCCGGCAATAAGTCGGGATCTCTCACTAGCGGCGGCTTTGCAGGCCATGTGTACGCCAACCTCGCGATTGCGGACAAGGCTGGTGCGGTTGAAAGTTATGAGTTCATGAGGAAGCAGACTCCTGACAGCCGCTACCTGAGCGGAGTGAGTTTGACGTGGAACCTCGCTTACACGGCGGCGCTGGGAGGCAGTTTGGGATCGAACTCCACGCTGAACTCAACAAGTCGGGCGGTCTGAAGTGAATGACCAGCTATTTGTCTTGAGGTGAAAGTTTGAGTGAGCTAGATTTGTGTTTACGAGGCCATGTCTACGTCCTTGTACATAGGAAAGGCTTCGCGGAGTTGAGATGCGATTTGAACTGAGAAAGTCAGTCACATGTTCATGTAACAATGAAGTAGAGAAGATAGCAAGAGCTTGAAACCTACGGGCAATTTTCCACCTTCTTGAAATTCGTTCCGAAAGCATCTGAATCACCTCTCGTAACAGAGTCTCGGTGTCACGATCGTAATGTTTTCCTAGTAGAATTGCTGCTAAGCCGACCTTCTTGTATAGAATGACTGCAGTAAGAGGCATCCTGTCGAGTTTGAGAATGTCCGCAGTCTTTTCCGTACGCATCAGATCATGAGCAATAGTAAGGGCCATTTCAAGTGCTGCGATGGACGATTCCTTGACAAATAGAGGAAGTTTTTGATCATTACACGCCAGCCTCTTTTCGTGAAGTTCTATCAGTGCCCTTTTCTTTATTAGCTGCGGCTCCTTGACTTTCTAAAGAATTACTTGCAAGAGATACACAGTGACCACTGTGTACTGGTGCTCAAGCCGCCTCCAGCTTATGGTCAGGGTTTCTCGGATTTTCCTTTGTATCAGCATGTCGAGCTTCCACGATTCGTGGTCAAGTAGTGTCTCAAGCTCGACGGACGGATCTCTGGTGCGCTGCATGACACTCTGTAGCGCATAGAGCGCCTGGATTTCGCTGGCGAAGACCCCGTAGGTCTGAACATCGTCTGCAGAAAATACAAGCGGCTGAAACGGGCCACTGATATCGAGGTCTTGACTCCATGCGTCATCCTCTCTGGGAAGCATCGCGCCGAGTCGAGCATCGCGGACAAGTGGTGCTCGTTCAGAGTTCCCAGTAGAATAAGTGTCAAGCCTATCGAGAAAGAATATAGCCCACCATACACGCATCTTCTCCTCATTGAACACCGTAGCAGGATTCAAAGATTGGTATAGGCCGGTTACATGGCCAAGACTGGCACATATCGCCAACGTGGCATACGCATCAGACACGAAGCCTCGACCCTGCTCGTATATGGCGAGTAGCAGGCCTGACTGGATGGTTTGCAAGTGGCCCCTCCAATATTTCTGTAACAGTATGAATGCCAACTTGCAATTGTCATACAGCGACGGTAAGAGAGGTTCGTTGTATGGCGCCAAAGCAGAGGGTATCACCGGGGTGATCAGCAAAATGTGTAAGATAAGACTAGCGAGCTCGGCAGATGGCGTGCTCTGTAATGACGCTGCTTGTCTTCTCAAGCCGAGTGGGTGAATGATTGGAATCCATTCGTGGATCGATCTCAAGTATCCATCAACTACCATCTCTATTCCAAGGTCGAGGAGTTCTAGCGTGGCGAACAAGTGTGTTGTTAGCAAGTCGTCATAATCTTGCCGTGTTGCTAACTTTGGTCCTAGAATAGAAGAAGAAATCGGATGTGTCTCCTTGTAATAAGAGCCGTAGTGACATATACTATTGTGACTATGTGGTATCAGTGGTTTGAACGCCTTGTAAGAAAGACATGCTAAACACTTACTCTAAGCACCGGCTACAAGCCGGTAGTAGCCGATCGCAACCCTTCTTCTTTGTCGAGCACAAATGACAGGCGTTCGAGGATAAATTACTTGTCGACATACTCGCCTTGGTACAGGATCGAGTCATCTTGACAAGCAACAGATTGGAATGAGTTCGAGAGAAGTTTCGGAGGAGCATGCAGAGCACTCCATAGCACGGGTTGTTCCTGGAGAGTCAGCTTGCTGACAAACTATTTCTAGTACTATGCTAAACTAGTCCGCCGCTAGTCCGCCGCTGACCCGCCACTTGCAGGGCTAAGACCGTGCCAACCCGCCGGAGTAGTGTCGGACAAGTGGTGTGCCAGGACCTAGCAATGCTACGATGCTCTTAAGGGGTTACAACATTGATCTCAAGACCAATTGACTGTCAGAATCACCTCTCGTGATGAATGCTAGGAGTCGCTGCTAACTGAACATTGGTCACAATGATTCATGCCGATGGGGTTTCTGAAGACTCTGGGGCCGGTGTCATAAATAGCCCAACTTCTTCCCACTCTTACCGACGTATTTCAGGCTGTACATCAACTTCATTAACTACATTGTCTGATACATTAATGCAATCTTGTAGCAGATCTCCATTCTACTAGAATGACACTTCCACAGAAGATTCGCGGCCCTTCCCTTTTCATCAGCCATGGAGCAGGCCCCCTCCCCCTTATCCACCCAGGCTTGGAGGATTTCCGGCAGCAAGTCGCCAAATTGGGTAGTAGGCTCAATGGAGTCAAAGGAATTATCCTACTTTCAGCGCATTGGGAAACCGATGAGCCCGAGATCACGGCTCTTGCAGACCCTGGTCTCTACTTCGACTATGGAACTGTGGCCGCAGCCCAAGCCCTTGTTCCACCTGAGGCCTACGAGACCAGGTACCCCATCCTTGGAAACACAACATTAGCCGCGGAAATCAACCAACGCCTCCTGGATTGCGGCTTCAGACCGGTGCTCGACTATAAGAGAGGCTTGGATCACGGTGTCTTTGTCCCGCTCAAGATCATGCGGCCCAAGGCAGACATACCTGTCGTCCAGGTATCTGTTCTCACTGGAAAGGACGAGGAGGAGGCCACAGACAAGAACCTGCGTCTAGGTCGCGCCTTGGAGTACTTCAGAGACTTCGGATACGCCATAATGGGGAGCGGCGGGTCGTACCACGACTTCATGACCATGAAAGACGTTCTCCAAGGTTCTGGCAAAATTCCCTCGGGGGCTGAGGAGTTTGAAAGCTACCTCGAATCTACGGCGGCAATTTCTGGTGCAAAAACTCGCGAGGAGGCTCTTAGGCGCTGGCGGGACACCCCGTCAAGCTATGTGGCTCACGTGAAAGCCGAGGCTGAGCATTTTTGGCCGTTTCTTGTTGCAGCTGGCAGTGGCGGGGACGTTTCTGGGCAGCGAATCCTCAAACTTCTTTTCCAGGGCTTACCAATGAGCTTCTACGAGTGGTGAGCAGTGACGATTGGTTAAGGGGAGGGGGGATTTTCACCGGGTGACAAATTAGGTCTGGGTGTTGATGGACTATGGCTGTGACGGCTGGATGCTATATGGATTGATACGTAGCCGAATAGTTTGCTTCGACATGGACTACGTACAATAAGAAAGTTATTGGAATATTCTCGCACTATGGAGCTGCTACCTAAAAGGAAGATTGCCCTGCCGGCACGCGGTGGAAGGATTGCAGGGCCGTCTGTGGATGTTAGGGAACCCCAACAGTTGGTCTCGTGGTCCATCCACCGCATGGCTGGCCCAGAGCCTAAACCAGGCGTGCATGCTCCTCCCCGGAGCAAACGTATTCACCCCTGCTAAGAGCCTGAAAGGCCACAAGCTATAGTGTCGGGCCCACAAAGGCTTTCTCGCGGCACTTCCATGATAGGTGTGCATAATGAAAAGAATGGCCTGGCATGTTAGTAAAGGAGAGCGTCGGCAGGGGGCTTTGGCAAGAGAGGCCAAGGCACATTACGGCTAACTTGGCGTATTCGCATCTCCAGGTTCATTCTAACGTCACTCCATCTAGTGGTATCATTAAACATAAATAACTGTTGCACTAAACGGATGTCTTGAGTGTTGGTGGGTCTCTGTCCATGTGCCATGCGCCGTCGCTTTAAACCGCAAGCCCCCAGAACAAAAGAATTAAATAATACTCGCGCAGTCCTTGCCCTCGATTAAGAATCCCATCAACCAATCTCGACAGGCTTTGAACTGATGTAAAAGCCGTTTGACCTTGCCGGCGACTGAGGCGCCTCTACCACCGCTGGTGCTAATCTTGCAGAGTCGCGATTATATGCAGGAGGCTGTGATAACGCCATCTCCTGTAAATTATCAAGAGCCTTTTGATGTCGCTTGAGATATCTGCACCATGTAACGGCGCAGACCACGCAAGTGATACCGATGACGCCAACGCCGACTCCGATACCAGCCTGCGCTCCGACGGGTAGACCACCACCGCCACCACCACCACCAGAAGACTCAGCGCTCTGGCTGGCAGTGGAAGTCGGTGTGCCAGCAGACGCGGTCTGTCCATCGCTGACAATCGTTTGTTGGATCGAGGTTTCTGCTGAAGATGCAAATGAAAGGGCTTGAGTGCTTGTTGGGAGCTCGGAGGTTGAAATGAAAACTGCAGTTGTGGATGTTAACAACGGTAGGGTTACTTTGGGAATCTCGGGCTCGTCGGTGATGTTGAAGTATGCCGAGGACATTTGTTGGAAGTCGAAGTTTCCCTGATTAGACGAATCGCCTTCGAATAGCCATAGAAAGAAGACATTCGACGAACCCAAGTCAAACTTGTTCGTCGCGACTGTCCATGTAAGCTCTTTGACGGGCCCTGAGCCATCCTCTAAAGTCCCTGTTAGCGAGACCAGCAAGACTCATTCCCTCTGTTTGACTTACGAATGGAAAACAAGATGTCTCCGACGCTTGCGGAGTCGCCAACTAGAGATTGTTGCCAAAGTGCTATTGTGTAGTTTTTGAACTTTGTGTTGTAGGAGATTTTCTTTGTTTCTCCGATCCTCCACGTTTCTCTCTTCTGAACGGGGCTGAAGAACTGTGCAAAGAGGCAAGGAAATAAGAAAAATGACAGTATGACTGCAAAGAACATCTTGAAAGACTGTTTGTTGTTGCGGAATGGTCAAGTCGAAGTGGCGTTGACTCGACCACGAGCGTGATATCGCTTCCTTAATATCAGACTTAGATCGAAGGCTGGCTGTTGACAGCGAATGCTGCGCCCGACCTGGCGCTGTGGTTCGGAGGCCCACTGGCGTGTTCCAAACCCTTGTCAAGATTCCAACACTTATCTGCTGGACTCTTAACTTCCAACAGCCTGCCTGCTACTCTGTCCCTACTTCACTGTCAAAATCTTGAAGTAGTCTGGGTCACTTTCTCAAGGGCCTGCTTCAGGCTGGCTCGGCTGGGTACGGTAGCCCGCCACTGATTGCTCTCCATTTTTGCCGCCTAGGCTGCATGCATGGACCCCTTGTCTGTTTTTCTACGCCGTGAAGTCTTGACCTGCGTTGGTGTAGATCATCAGGAAGACTTGACACATGACTACTTGAAAACCTCCATATCAAGAGACTCTAGGAACGCGGTCTATAGAATACGAAGACCGAAGTCCTAGGAAAAGGCTTTTGCACCCTCAATCAGCAAGACCACGGTGATATTCCGTATTATCCCCTTGACAGTGATGTTTGCTCTCGGCCGAGACAGGGTCTACCCCTGACCCTGCGATGTGGCTTTTTTGGCCAGTCGTGCCAGTCAAGGGCGTCGAGAAAAGGGCCAATCATAGCGTGTGAATTATTGCCGCCCAATTTCTTACCGCCCGCCTTCTTGCCGCCGTCATTGAGGGCTCAGCGCGGACTTGCGGAACAAAAGACGAACCAACCGCCTCGTATGACCAAGGTGCTGTGATGCGTGGTGCATTTGAAGTCCCAACCAACGCCAAGCCCTTTCTGAAAAGCAAATCAGCTTCAAGCGTTCTCCGGACTGCTCCCCTTTCTCCCATCCCAATATCTGCTACTTTGGGTCCGGATGTGCGATGAACGCCTGGAACAAAGTTGTCTGCGTGCAGGGCTGGGAGCATAGCCCGTAAAATTGAAGGAAGATCTTCTGCCCTCTCTGAATCTAATCAGTCAGTAAGCAACCAGGTGCATGCTGGTCTTTCCTTTGGGGGTTGGCTGAAAATTGCATTGTGCCCCCTCCCGCCCATCCCGCCGCCTGCCGATGTTTTTAATTAGACAACCCACCATGCAGTCGAATACGGTTTGGCTTGCCAGCTGATTGTCCTCTTTCTTTCATAAGACTTGTCCCCCGTCAGTCTCACTCCGCTTGTTGGCTGTTTTCAAGACTCTCCTTTGCAAATTTCTGGCGTTCTCCTCCTTTCCTAATGCACAAAACGAGTAGGATGGCTTTTCTACCTATCAGGCCAACCTCCAAGAGGGATCTGTGCATCATCGCAGCAGTCTTTGTCACTGTTGTGTTATTCCTGCATAACCCATTTCCAGACCATATCCCACGGCCGGGTGGCACAGCTTCAAAAGTCTCGTCAACTGGTTTGATGAGCGCGATCCAAAACAGCACATTAGGCGTGAGTCCTCTCCCAGCGCTGGTTGGGAGTAACACAATCTCACGATGCTGTGCCTGTAGTTTGAAAAGATTTTCGTCGTCGGCCTTCCAAGCCGGACAGATCGCAGAGATGGCATGATTCTGCAAGCTGCGCTGAGTGAGATTGAAATCAATTTTGTGGATGGTGTGCCTGGCAACACCGTAGTCGACAAGGCGATACCAAAAATGAGCGAGCACGATCGCTTGCATGATGGCGCCATAGGCTGTTGGCGTGGCCACATGACTGCGCTCGAGGAGTGAGTCGAGTCCTTGCTAACCATACAATACTCAGTCCACTGACCTTATTCCTAAGAATCGTCCGTCATAACCTATCTTCAGCTCTTATTCTCGAAGACGATGTCGACTGGGACATCAGAATCAGAAAGCAGTTGCACGACTTTGCTCTCTCAGCTCAAACCCTGACTCAGCCCCTTCCCGATGGACCTGCAACTTATGCGGACCCAACATACCCGAGGCCGGTCGAGAACTCGCCAGAGGTGGTTCCGGATATTCCTTTTGATTATCTTCCAGCTACTGTGGCACCAAAAACATCACCGTACGGAGACGACTGGGACCTGCTCTGGATCGGCCACTGCGGAATGCACTTCCCATTCCGAGACAATAAGAGTATACCTAAAGCTCGCATCATCCGCTCCAATGACGTAACTGTCGCTCCCAAGAAGAACCTATGGACGTTCAACATCCCATTCACTTTGAAAGAGACGTATCCGGAGCATACGCGGGCATATCACCATGCTCAAGAGGGCGTTTGCACACTAGGATATGCGATTAGCCAAAGGGGAGCGAGGAAGCTCCTGCATGAGGTGGCTTTGAAGGATGTCAGCGATGCGTACGATATTCTCTTGAGGTTCTTTTGCGAGGGCGCCAAGGGCCGAAAACCACACAACTGCTTGACGACACAGCCAGCGCTATTCCACCATCACCGACCGGCCGGCCCCAACAGTGCGATGAGCGACATTGGGAACCACGGTGATGGCTTTAGAGAGGTCAGCATGACCGACATGGTGAGATGGAGTGTGCGATTGAATGCTGATGCGCTTCTCGAAGGGAGGACGGATTTTGTTGACCAATATCCTGACGATAAATGAACTAAACTTAGATAGACCAAGGCTACACACTTGTCACTCTTTTTTTTATATATTTTATAGCAATCTTAGATATCTTACGTTCTATTCTTTTCAAAGTCAATTACATTTCCAGTACCAACTTATTCGCAACAGTTCTGCGGGAAACGTCTCAACTCAAGTTGGCAGTCTCACTGTTTCAGAGTAGCAGAGCTTTCCATTCATTTGTGAACTCGAAGGTAATTAGTCTGTTGAGATAGGCGCTGTCATCTAAGTCCATGATTGGCTATTCACTCTAAGTGGTGTAGACAAGATTTCCTTCGGGACGTGATAAATGACACCGTGATATCATCATCAGTAAAGAATTTGTGATGAAGCCATTTGGAGAAAGCATGCTAGCCAGATACATTTACGGACGGAAGCGATGAGGCCATGCCACACAATCTCAAGCTCCAAATCTTGGCAAGAAGAAAGTTCATAAGCTACGCGATAGTTTTACCTAACACCTAGATGCGTGTCAAATGGCATCCTCAAACATCTGTCGTCGGTCCGCTGTTAGTGCCCTAACCTGAAATGCGAGAAGCATGATCTACCTAAGGCGTTGTAGACGAAGGCGCCTCGTTGAGAGGCTTCTGTCCGTAAACAACATGGCTTTTAACCCGTCAGTAACAGCTCGAACTTTAGTCCTTGGATGCTCCAGCCAGAGTAATTACTCACAGGTCATAGATGCCGTGGTATGCGCCTTCCTTCATTTCCTTCCGAACTTGCGCGGTCTCAACCAGCACCTCTTCCTTGGTTCGGCCGAGGACGCCACAAAAGACTCTCAAAGTAAATCCCTCGAGACCTTCGAGCATTTGAGCCAAGTTGAGCATACCCAAGTCCTTATAATGTGGCTCCTTAGGCCAGGGGCCGAGGGGTGCTTTGAAACGCTGGTGGAAAATGTTTTCAAAGCCAGTGTCCTTCACCCAGCCTTCCAGTCTCGGACCAGGCGAGGGTTCCCGCCCGATGCTCCTCATGGTCTTCAAGAAAGTCTGGTTCCAGGGCCAAGTGGCATGCTTTTCAGTGTAAGTGCCATCGTCTGAGTAAATCTCCGGGTCCATCTCGTGGAACTCGGCCCAACCTCCCGGGTTCAAGTGACTTTCGATCTTTGTTAGTTCAGTCCACATGTGACGATTGCAGGGAAGAGACCCTTTCCCGCAAGTGATTGGATCTGCTTGAAGCATCGACTTACTCGTAGATGTTCTTGACCAACTTGGGCCAGTCCGCTATAGACGCAGCCATAAATCGGCAAAATATAAAGTCGTACTTTGTTTGATGGACCCACGGGCTTTCGACGTCGTCAATTTCGAATCTGACATTGACAGGAACCCTGAGACAGTATCAGCGATAAAGTGGTCATAGTCAGCTCGGACAGTTAGTCAGGGGCTTACCAAGACGGCTGGATAGCGCTGAGATCCACTCCAATAACCTCAGCATTCTCAAAGATATCGCCAATTTCAACAGCCCCTGCAAAAAGGTTTGTCAGTTTTGCGAAAGAGCGCCGAGAAACAAGAGATAGAACCCGGGCCTTACAGATACCAGTACCAGTGCCGACATCAAGAATTTGTTGAATCTTTTCTTTCTCGAGCGGAGCAAGGAATAGCCTATTCTTGATTGCTTTGACCATCATGGCATGTGTCATGTCAAGTCTTTCCATTTCTACCTCATCGTTCGGCATTATATATGCTACATTGGTTAGCTCATATATGGTTTCCCAAATATTAAAATTTGGCAAACATACAGCCGGGTCTGAAGGCATGATATCGTCGGCCATATTCCATAGGATAATCAATGACACTTGAAGATAGAGACGCAGTGTAATTAGAGCTGTGCGCGCGGAGAGAGTTAGTCATGCTATCTCTGAAGTGATCGTGTTCGAACCCACATCCGCTCATCAATAGTTGATGCATTGTCAGTCTAAAATATTGTTAGCAGAAGTCTACTGCGGAGACCGGAAGCTTGTGGTGACAGCTATGATCGACTTACAGTCTCTCCTTCATCTGCCTCAACTATCACATCGTTGGCAACTTGTTGAGTATCAACTGGCGAACTGGTGGGCGGACTGGCTTGGCTTTCCGCTGGAGGCGACATTGCTTGTGCAGGTGGCGTCGTTGCGGCTGGTGCAGCTGTTGCTGCTGGCGCCCCCGGGGCTCGACTCTGGTTGTCCGTCTCCTCAGCCATTGTAGGCGCAGACGCTACGATTTTGTAAGATTTTGGAAACCGAGCTCACAAGGCGGCCGATTTGCAGTCGACAAGAATTAGACGACACGGATGGATAGAGTTCCCCTTAGGTGTTTCGGGGGGCCGGGCGATTGTCCAGCCTTTTTGTAATTACCCCTCCATTGTTCGTCGTCCTCTCTTTTGGTTTAGCGAACTTGGCATGTTTGCTGCAGACATCTCTGTTCCTTCTCGTTGGTGCTGTGCCTCCGAGATGCATTAAAATGGAGAAATTCTGCAGCTTGAGATCTTCAGATTGGTCGCAATTCAAGCTCGCAGAAAGCTGTTTCGTGTCCTGTCAGGGTCCGCATCATTGTTGATAGGCGATCAGGCCAATTAGGTATAAGCGCTTAGTTTTCGCCGGATATCCGGCCAAATGTGAATACCTAACCGGAATAGCTATGCAGCAACTGCATGGGGAATCAACTGTTCATATGGCTTTTCAAAATTGCGATTGGCCAAAAGATCCATCAGATCTTTTCAAATTTACGGGATCCGAATCGTTCTGACTAAGGCTGCAAGAAAGGCACACGAGTTAAAAGAAAGAAGTTATGCTTAAATAGACCTTCTTGACAAGCCAGGTAGGGGCAACACAGCGGCAGTTCGCACTTTCTGGAGCAAAAGCATCCATGTAACTCGACGTTGGCCTGATTCGAACAGACGCTCCCGAAGGAACAAGATTTCTAGTCTTGCGCATTAGACCACTCTGCCACAACGCCGTGATCCACTGAATGTGGAGTTGAGTTGTGTTCCTCAGATGCGGATCATGATCGGTTTTCGGCTAGCAACAACAGCTTGATTATCATCCTACACTGTGCGCCGAGGCCTTCACAAACATCGTAGGCGCATCGGTTGCTTGTAATTGAATCTGAACATCATGGAGTTTGAGGGTAAGCACCTAGGTGACTAAGTAGATTGTCCAAGACGAGATGTCCTTGAGGAGTTACCCATAATCTTCAGGCAACAAACTGGTACCGTTCCGACGAGCCGTTCCAACTTCCAAGCATCCTCGACCCACTTTCAGTGCCCCAAAGCCCCCACTAGAAAACATCTCGATGCCTTCTAGTATATACACAGATTGGCTGGTACAGAGGTAACTAGCTCCCAAGAGTCCAACTTATTGGTCGTGAGTGCATTGAATGCCAAGGTATCGTCACGGATGGTAATCTTGGAACTTGCAAGCCGAAAAAATGGCCCATCTTCGTCCGTCGGATCACTATCACTTGCAGGAGCAGGCAAATTCATCTCTCAAAAACTGAGACCCTTCTCATGCTACTTGAAAATGGCTATATGATAGTGGTTGATATCCATAAATTCCACGGGTTTCTATTTCAACATAAGTATGTAAGATCTCATGGCACTCGCGGCAAAAGTGACGCCAGCGCCACCAGCTCCCATGCTCGTCCAAATACATGCGAGGGGGCGATATCAGGTGGCACTGTAGCAAGCCTTTCCTACCCTTGTATGATCAAGGTAGCATCCACCAGCGAAGTTATCGCGAATCTTGATTGACAAATCTAACTCCGGCTCCCGGCCCCTCAACTCGCAGTATGTGCACCGAATCCTCATGGTTACGCGGAAATGGCTCATTGGGGACTTGCGCTGGGTGTTACTTTTCTCTGAGCTCGCCCGCAAATGGAACCTGTAAGCTGATGTTGCCCTAAACATCAATATGGCGCTAGATAAGACACGATGGGCATGTCATCGGTTGTCCTTCGTTTCCGATTGATTGATGGACTACCTTATGCTGAAGTATCGTGCACGAAGTGACTGGTTTCTTCAGACTGTCCAAGAACTCGGGCTGAATTTCTGGAATACTGTGAAGATACTAATCCTCAGGGGCACCACGTAAGTTGAACCTAACTCGCAGAGGTAATTTGAGATTGTGCCCGGGTCAACTCGCCCCCGATCGGATGGGTTTTACTCACCGCTGCTGATGCAAGATCCAAGCCAGCATGCGAAATACCCATGCACTAATCTCCGAAGTGATGACTTGCACCGACCAAGTGAAAATACAGCAACAGCTGGATAGCTGAGCCAGTATCAGGAAGATAGAGAAGATCGCACCTAGGAAGCCCTTCGTATCAGGGTTTGCTCCTCATTATCTCTGTTGGCAGCTATGCTTCCCTGACTTGAATCAGGCCTGTCATGGACGAAGCAGCTTTCCAAATTTTCAAAGAACGACAAATGTGGGAGGAGGGCAATACCACATGCCGGGATCGCGCTTATCGGCATCATACATCGGCGCGGTAATCGTTCAAAATTGAGAGAGCTACGGGAGTGACCACCTGAGCTCTGTTGCGATCCAAGCAAGGAGTGCTTGCAGTGTCAGTTCGTCTGGCTTCTTTCCACACATCATCTGTGCAATAACAACGCAAGCCAGCCGATAAAGTTTCATAAGTTCTTCCCTTACGACGCACCAATACATGGTCCCCCAAAAGCTTTCGAGTTATTCCGTGGGGGTAATGCAGGCTGCAGCTGTGCAGGTATCAAGGTGCGTGCGCCATGCCAGGGGTAAAAAGGGGGATCATTACGAGATACATACTGCGTACCTCTGCTCACACAACGACGCTATTACCAGAGATGTTTTACCAAATGGTATAAACCGCAAGAACCCGCGGATCGCGGAAAGAATTTTCTTTGGTACTGGTGCCTTCAATTGTTAGTTGAAAATGCTTGCCTGTTTCTGTGACCAAACCATTACGAACGTCCAACCCTATAGCCATGGTTCCGGAACCAATGTCATTTTGACTATCGATCATCCCAAGTTGCAAGAGTCTAAATCACTGAGACTCATCTCGTTCGGCGGCAAACGGAAAATCATAGGCAAATGTTCTGCTCGTAGCTCTGCCCACTTCAGGAACCGGAACCCGAAGGGAGGGTAATTAGAGTTCACGGTATTTCAACCCCCGGTACCCCGGGGGTGAATCACGGTTTTCTGTCACTCGCCGTGCCTCTAAACAAGGGAACGAGTGGGGCTTCAAGAGTTCGCATTGCAACGTCACGGCCTTTGACCACGCTCACCGGGGTAATTGGGGACAAGGAACCTGACTCGGGTCGTCCGAAACACAGGGCATGATAACCAGTTCTTGCTGTGATCAAGGACGCGCTCCCGCCTGAGAGAACCTTGAGTTTTATCAGTGACAGATAACTTCCTACCCCCTGCGGCACTGCCCTGAGTGCTTGAATGCTATCCTGTTTTATCATGGTAGTGCTACTACCATTGCAACGCGGTAAGTGCCACATGCTACGCCAGCACTCGATGGAAGGGAAAAGGTTGTCTCTCGCGGGAAGGCGACTGTGACAATCTGCACTTTCTTCACTGCACCTCCGCTATCATCATGAACAGGATGACCCCTCAGATCTTTGTGATACATATCTCTCAGCATCTCCAGTGACATTCCCGCATTTGGACTGTCTGCTGTGCAGATTGAGTACGCTCCTTGCTTGCAGCCTCGACTTTTCCCGACCATCTTGCGGCGGCGGCGATCGAAATTCGGCAGAATTTTGTGTTTTTAACATCGCGCAAACATTCTCAAGTCGCCCAACATGGTGACGATGAACCATGACTACACCAAGGGTCAGATGATCGGCCTGGCGATTGGGTTTATGGCCATTCCTACAGTGTTCTATGGACTTCGCGTCTGGGCGAAGCTACTCGTCAAAAGATTTGCATGGGACGACTACCTAACCGGAGCAGCGCTCGTAAGTCTACAGATGGAGCTTGGAGCCATTGGTTAGGCAAATGATATCAAATGCTGACCGGTGTCTCCTTTGGACAGCTGGTATCAATCACCTGCTGTACTCTGCAACTAGCCAGTATGTTTGAAATTTCCATGATCACTTAGCAAGAAGAAGGAACTGACGCGAAGGCAAGCTGCAATTCACGGTCATTTGGGACAACATCAGCCCACGTTCCCCGACGGCTCTCCAATTATGGATGATCCAGGGCTGATTTTCTTCGAAGAGGTGAGTTTGTCTCTCCAGCTCGCCGGCGTCGCATCTGTCACATAGCTAACAAGCTTTTCGCACATCAGACAAAGTTTGCACTTAATATGATTTCAATCCTGGGCTTAGGGTTCGTCAAATCATCTATTCTCGTGTTGTATTACACCCTCTTCCCAAGCCAAAGGTTTCGCTACGTCGTCTTTGGGGTACTAGCCTTTGTGATCGGATGGACGGTCAGCTTCTTCTTCTCCCATCTCTTTACTTGTTTCCCCATCACGGTGTTCATCGAGCCCTACTATGGCAACTCTTGTGTTCAGACGGTACCGATGTTCCTCGCGCTTCTATTCACCGACGTCATTGCCGACTTTGTCATCCTCGTACTACCTGTCGCGATGGTTCTCAAAGTCCAGATGCCCCTCAAGAAGAAACTTGCAGTCATCGCAATGCTAGGACTTGGCGCTGCGTAAGTTTTCCGATGTCGTTGGGAAGGGAAAAGGTTGCTGACAAAAGTGTAGCGTCTGTGCCGTGAGTGTCACGAGAGTGGTAGCTACTTTTGCTATCGCCGAAGAATATGTCAAGCATCCTAACGATGTCATCTGTAAGTCACACTTGGACTGATCAACTCCAGCTCCTTCTCTGACGATGACATAAGATTACACCGCCCCCGTTTTCTTCTGGACCAACATTGAACTGTCGCTGGCCATTGTTTGCGCTTGTCTCCCAACACTCCGGCCAATCTGGGTGCATTTCTTCCCCAAGCCCATTACGACAGGAAACGATTCTTACGAGTACGGATCATCACGACGTATTGGTGGGAAGAACAGTATGAGAACACCGAGAACGCCATATGAAGAGCTCGATGAATTAGAAATGATTCGAAACGACGACAAGACGCGCTCAGGCTCTCCAGAAGGACGAGAGATTCTGAGAGAGACGACGATTCATCAGACGATTGAGCCTTCTGACAGCTCGAGTACTGCCAACTTAAGGACCAATGGTGTTGGATTATGAGCAGGAGGACTAATTTGAGGAAGAGATATGTATGAGCGTTGATTTTGTGACAGTCGTTCATAGTTCTAATGAGATCGATTCTTGATTGTTTCCTTGATGATACCTCATTTGTACTTTTGCCGACCGCTATCGAAACTCCAAACCTGAGCTAGACTGTGGCACTTGTCTTTTCTTCTCAATTCTTGACCTAATCAATGGTATCCGAACCAATTTGCAAACGGCGATTTTCCCTATCAAATGTCACACAACCACAATTCTCAAATTTGATCGTCTGTTGCGGGACTTCGTTAATCAATAAGCCGCGTGGCTTCGAGAATCATACGTAACCCTAGCAAATTGCTAAGATTGCGCTTCGGAGAGCAGCGGCGCCGCGCTGCCGAGGACTTACGGACCTGACCAAAGCACAATTCTTGGTGTGCTTTAGATGTCCAAATAACCTCTCCATCCACAACCTCCACAGTACGGGTCAGCGGGGGCAAAGAGGGGATGATTTTCTCGCCAAGGGGGTTTTTCTCTTTCGACAATCGGTGCAGCGGACCCGTTTGATATCGTATGTCCCGCAAGACAAGGTCGAACCCAGCAACAAGCTCCACCTGCAATGCCAGGGTAACCGGACACCACCATGTCGCGGTTGGAATTCCGTAATCTTTTGCCAAGGATGGGAACGCCAACGTCGTTTTTCTGCAATGGAATTCCAGCGCCCTTGTCGTATGATGGTAATATTTCGCCCAGAAGTCCGCTCGTTAGTGGCCGCAAGCTCCGAGATGCGACGGTCACATTGGGGATGGATTGACTGATGGAGGGCCTGGAGAGGATTTGCCCCTCTCTCTCTCCTCTTCCCCCCTTTGATGGTGGCACGGTGTAGACCCTGACCAAGATGGAGAACCTCATGTCCGTTTGATCCCTACCAAGACTATGCGACCTGGCAGCGTCCAACACCAACGCAGCTGCATACCATGGTTACCGGGAGAATTCGTCGGCATATGCCTCTTCTATAACGATCCAGGATTTGACGCGTGGATCCAAGGGGGTCATGTGGCTGGGAGTCCCATTGCATCCTACATTATACATGTAGACGCAGACATGAACTCGCGCACGTTCGCAGACCCTTAAAGAATCTTGTCCTGCTCTGCGGTTGTCCATGCACGAGCTTCTTGGCTATCACAGCTTCTCGCCGACGATCACCTGCCACTGCTACCCCCGGACGACACCATGCGGTCCCTAATTGTCGGTCTGCAACTCATCTCAATGGTAGCATCCGCTGCCATTAGCATCAACGCCCGTTCCGTAGCCGAGGATTTGCAAAACCTTGTCTCGACTTCCTCCGTGGCCGTCGAAGTTCGAGAACGTTGGAGTGACTTCGATGTACCTTTGCCATCAGTCATTGTCAATGCGACATCCGAGAAGGATTTGAGTGCTGTGGTAGGTTCACCGATGTTCTCGGCCAAATCGGATCACTCACTACTGTGCACATTTATGCTAATGTTTATCTACCATACAGGTCAAGTACTGTTCGATAAATAATATCGCTTTCCTCCCCCAGAATGGCGGCAATGGTTGGGCGACCAAACAGTTCAACCTGGGCAGCAATGGCGTCCTGATCAATCTCGCCGGCTTCAACCAGGTTAATATCAGTACCGACAAGAAAACAGCTACGATTGGTGGAGGAGCGCTCATTGGCGATGTTGTTGCTGCTGCTGACGCTGCAGGTGTCTTGGTCCAAACAGGCAATTGCAATTGCGTCGGCGCTCTTGGGGCAGCCCTGGGCGGTGGATATGGCAACATCATGGGGGAACACGGCTTTGCCGTTGACAACATCTTGTCTATGCGCGTAATCACTGCCACCGGAGAGGCTCTGACAGTTTCAAGCTCATCTAACCCAGATCTTTACTGGGCTCTGAGGGGCGCAGCACCCAACTTCGGCATCGTCACTTCTGCGACAGTAAATGCGTGGGCGACAGCAAGTCGTACATCTTGGATCATGTCTCTGACCTTTGACTCCTCAAAGATCGCCGATGTGGCTCAGACTATCCAAGATCTTCCGTTGCTTCCGGAACAAGTCGTCTACCTGGTGCTGACAAATTCCGGCGACTCTTCGAATTCGCCAATGGTTCTTGTCACTGGCTTCCTACGCCAGGGAACCGAAGAAGCTGGCCGCACCGCCTTTGCGCCTCTGTACAACCTCGGACCCCTGACCAACTCCAGCGTGGTTACTCCTTACCAACAATGGAACGCGGCCAACGACAACTTCTGCGCCCGCGGAGGACGCAAACCGGCATACAGCACGACCATCAACAACATGAAGTCGGAAACATGGCCTGAGATCTGGACTCTATACACCGACTTCCAAAAACAGACAGGCGCACAGAATTCAGCTGTGTTGATCGAGAGATACAACCTGACTACGGCAAAGTCAGTTCCTTCTGGGTCCGCAGCTATGCAAGATGAGCTCCGCCAAGAAGCGTTCGCACAGGCGATTGTCATCCCGTGGTATGAGGACGCTACCCTCGATACTCAAGCTCTGGAATTTGGGGCCAAAGTCCGAGATATCTGGAGCTTCTCTTCGAGTGCCACCGTGAACCCGACGTAGGTTAAACATTCAATCAGTATTTCTCTACTGTCATTGCGGTCATTAACGAATATTTCAGATACATTAACTTTGCTCACGGGGATGAGGAGCTGCAAGCTATCTACGGCTCAAGCTTGGATAGACTCAAGACCTTAAAGAAGAAGTTTGATCCTTCAGGGGCGTTTGGTCAGTGGTTCAGGATTGCGTAAGCATTACTCGGTGACTGTATTTTGAAGTATTGGAACATGCAGAGAAGCAGCGGATTTACTCTATCGTGCACACTGGATGATTCACAAGAGATTCAGAGAAGGCACGACAGGCATGGTCCCAGCCGTCTACTCAATTCTGGATTTTAACTATTGTCAATTCCTACCGATATGCGTTAGATACATGTACCAATCAAATATCACAGAGTAAAAGTGCCTTCATCATCTTCAACTACCTTTCGTCTTGTTGTTTATTCTCTTTCGATGATGCAGAGGTACCTAACATGACCAAAGTCGATCATTCATCTCGAAACAGCTTCAAGTATCATCTGAAAAGTGACTCATCTTGGGAAGAGTGTTGTGTGTCTAAATTATATGGATGTATGCGCTCTCATGCCTTCATTAATAAATTGCAAGAACCTCTTCGAGGACGCCACGAGCCAAATTGAATCCTAGATTTATCAAAGTCCGTACCCATGCAATAATGCTAATGTGTCGTTCCAAAGTCATTCCAAAAAGGCCGTTTTTCATTGGACACCAATCCATATTAGGCGGAGCAGGCAAATGAGTACGAAACACCACTGAAGTGATCGCTGCAACCTCCGTATGTAGACTGGCCATTCAGCGACACGGGAACGCAAGTCTCCACCGTCTTGTTCGTCTTCGTGTCGACGACGGCGGTGACCTCGGGGTTGGCGTACAAGGGAATGTTGTCGTCCACACATGCCAGCTCCAAGTTGTAGTATGTGGTGTTTGTTACAGCGTCAGTGACGTTGAAAGGGTTGCGGCAGATGGGCTTGAAGACGTATGTGTTATAAGCGCGGATCGTGGTCCAGGTCGCGGTGCCCTTTACGGCGCCGCGGGTGTCGCAGACCTCAGTGACCTCTTGCGTCGTTGTGGGAGTGAAGGGGGACCACGCGACGAAGAGATTCCCGTGGGGGTAGCTGAGGTAACCCAAGTTGATGGGAGGGAGGGCAGCTGAAGCCGTGGCGACGAAAGAGGCGCCGAGAATGGTAGAGAGCTGCATTTTCAGAGATTTTGGTGGGAAAAGTTAGGTATTACTAGTCGGATCAAACAGTTCAAATTCGATGGTAGCTGATTCTGGCAAAAACGAGAGTGGCCTGGCTCAGCGGATTCCGGGACGATCGGTCTATTGCACTGCTGTTAAATACTCAGGATAAGAGCCGTGGCAGCGCCTAGTAGCTGCAGGTCTAGAATCTCGTTCCTTGCAGTTTAGTGGTTCGTTTAGTTCGGCCCTCACTTACCGCCCGTGCCGTCATAGTTTCCGTGGACCTTTGGTCGGCATAGACAAGGGCGCTGCAGGAAACATTTCAGCCGTTGCGCGATCATACCTTGTCCTAGGCCCGTTGAACCACCCGCGCTAGAACCAAAGTCCCAACCCATCAGGTTTCTAGGGCAGTCAGCCAGGGATAAAATTTCTTTCGCTAAACTTCTGCCTGGTAAAACATCGAGAACTTTCTTTCCCGTGCGGCTTGAATCTTTGGTGAGAACTGTCAGTATTCAAACAGAATCAGAATGCAAAACCTGTATTTGAAAATCATAAAGAAGACATGGCGAATGACAGATACATCGTGACATCATTGCTGTCCATTTGAACCCTTAGATCGCACTAGAGTGCGGCACAGAGGCGGCAATTGTCAGGCGGAACAGGGCTGCAGATCCAGCGGTCAAATACGAGTTGTTTTGTTGCCTAGACACGGAAGCTGACGGCACTTAGTGGGGACATCATGCAATCCTTCTCGTGTTGTCGCCCCGATGGTTCCACAGAACGCATCGAGGTAACTATTGTAAGAAAGCGGTAAGGGCAATTTATCTTTGTTGATAACAAACTCGTGTTTTTTATATCGGGATTACTGTCGATGGAGTTGAGCGCGTCCTTGGGGCACATTGCGCGTACCGTACAGTCACCAAGTATAACTTATTGTGTGATTTCCCTTAAAAGCCTGATCCCGCTAAGATCGATCTTTCGCGCCTATAGAGCAGGGGAAACAACTACCATATAGCCACAAATCCTGACCGGCAATTGATCTCTTCGTATAACTACTGCATGTAGGTACTAGAAGATAGACTCGAGCTCATAGGTTTTTAGCCTACTCTAGCTCCCAATCATCGCTGAGAATGGAGGTTGGCTGATGGAACTAAAACTATCAACTTGTTAAAGTCTTGGGCAGAGACCTGGGTATTTAACATAGTGATGTTCATCGAAGTCTGCGGTCTCTGATTGTGTGATCCGATTATCTTAGGAAGTGATTGCTTAGAATACCCGAAAGAAGCATAACAAAAAGAAAACCAACATATCTGATTCTGCAGACTTTGAGAAATAAGATAAACTAAAATAAGGCCAATGATCATTACGAGATTACTTCTGTCCAAAATTGTCACGTAACAGGGATAGTAACCGCGCTTCACGAAGTGCCCGTCACGTACTGTATCACGTGTATATCTCATACATCGTGTATATAGACCTTTTCCTTTTGTCTATTTCCACTTTGATAGGTTCAGCCACTTTACCACACTCCGTATGCCCATTGCTGCGTGTCATAACTCGTGACAAAAGTCTAGTCAGGCTACAGCTGCAGCTGGTGCAGTCGATGTTTGCTCATCGGACTCTTCTGGCTTACGTCCGTAGACGACGTGCCTGGTAAGCGTTGTTAGTTATGACCTTTAGCTAGTGGTAGGTACGATACCTGTGAGCGTAAGCAATTTACTCACAATGTAAAGTACGTCTGAAGTTTGAGGTCCCTCAGGGCCTTGCGCATCTCGCTCATGAAAACAAGAATCTCCACATCCTCCCATCCCATCATTTGTCTCAAAAGGAAAGTTCCAAACCCTTCCAAAGACTGGTCGATGTACTGCAGGTTGACAGCCCCGACTTCTTTCAGCTTGGGATCCGAAGCCCATCCTCCGATAGGAATCGGCCAGCTTTTCTCCACGATATCCACGAATCCAGCATTTCTCATGCCGTTCGCAATGCCATGATCCCGAGTCTGTTTCCCAGTTTTGCCGAGCCTATCCATTGACTCGAACATGATTTTCGCCCACCTTCTGTAAACATGATCCCGGGGCAAATTGTCGCCGAGTGCTTGAGAGTAGTCTTCAAGATCTAGTTCGTTCACCTCAATATAACCGCCAGGTATGAGGTGCTCGAATGCCTGAGAATAGAGCTTCGGCCAATCAGAGACACATCCTTCCAGATGTCGGATGTGAACGTAATCGAAGAACTCAGTAGGCCACGTCCAGTCCGCCTCAATGTCGTCGATTTGAAATTTGCAGTTGGGTGGAACCCAACTCGGTTGAATAGGTGAAATGTCAACACCGATAACTTCTGCCGATGGGAATTCGTCGGCAAAATCACTGACAAGAACATGTGAGACCGTTGTCTAACTATTATCTTGACTCGATAGTAAATGCGATACGGGAAACTGAAGAGAAATCAACTCACATAGCCCAGATACCCGTTCCGGTACCAATGTCGAGAACTTTCTGCTTATCATTTCAGCGGCTTGTGAACACCAGGAACTTGCGTGTTAACTGACATGGGGGCTGTCTCCTATAGGCGCCAAGAACAGCTTATCGTCAAAGAAGACGCATTCCCAATAATGGCTTGATGTAAATGTCAGTAGTGTGTTCGATTTTGGGACAAACCGAGTCGCTATTGTGAAGAGGAAAGTATGTGGACTGGTACAGACGATGTTTACATACGCAAGATCGAGCCCTTCATTCTGCTTCTCGTCATTTGGCCCCCAGTAGTCAACCTTTTGCGTGTAGGTGCGCCCAAGGATGCGTCGATACTCCGTGATGCTTTCGGTCAACGAAGCCGTTGAGGACGTGTGAATGCTATTGCACTAATCAGCTTACACCCCAAATCCACTGACGCGCATTCCGTCAGTACTCACCTCTCTGTCTCGGCTTCAGTCAAATCCTCATGCTCGAAAGCCGGGTCCTATTGAGAGAAGGGTCAGCTGTCTGATGTTTTGAGGTTCACCTGAGCTACGTATGTATGCAGGTATCAAGAAGCCGGTGATTCGACTCACAACGACGATTGGGCCTGCCTCGGTCTCATTTGCGTTGCCAGCAGGTGAGCCTGCTGCCGCTGGTGGCGATGAACTTTTCGCGGACGGACTCTTTGCAGCCGGCATTGACGCGGAGTCCTGTGGCTCCGAGCCCTCAGTTGATGCCATGTTGTAATTCGTAGAATTCTCCTGTCAGATGATGAGATCTGTCTGTCGGCAAGATGTCGCAATGAATAGCAATGATCTGGAGTTTGTGAGGTTCGAGACACGAATATGGGCTCAACCCCTCTTTTCAACGGATTTCTTATCCTTCTGTTGGTTCTGCGACATGGATGCTCTTCTTGCAGCCGAACACGCGTTCGGTTGGTCTGTTGGTGGCTGCAAACCGGGGCTGAAGCCGCCAAGTATTCTAGCGAGAGCCCGCCTCCCTGGACGAATAGAATAATTATTTTCCCAATATCCGATGCGCATTCACGGCATTCTAGGCTATGTCCGGAAGGTATGGAAGGTGCCGGGTAGCTTTCCGACACGGACATAGCATGCAACCATAATCCATTGTTCAACATCAAGCAGACAGGCAAAGTCCGAGGGGTCCAATTCACTGCCAGATCCGCTCAAATGCAATGACAATTCCTCGCTCATACCGACTTGAGTCAATCCTTCAGGGCTGGTGTTGCGATTCGCACACATTTGGTTAGTCTTATTGCTATTGGATTTCTCGAGTCTCGCACTAGATGATGGTGACTTGTGATCCGCTCGAATTCCAGCCAAAGGCTGTTGTATTTTTGTATCACATGATGAATAAAGACATCAGATGTCTCTCGCATATTGAATTCTGCTAGAACATTCTTTCTCACATTGGAGTGGGGTTAGCTTTTTGGCACAGGTTTTTGATGTACCGGTCAAGTCGCTCGTAGAGACCTGCTATTCTGCTTTAATGGCACAATCAATCTTCCATGGCACGATTAGTCGAACATACACGTGCTATTTGGACTTGAAACGGCCTTTGAACCGGGCTTTATGTTGCTTGTTACTGATTCCATGTTGCCTGCGAAATTACCATCCAGCCTTTTACCCCTCCTGCCTGGTTGAGAGATACTTTCCATCGTCGTCGAATGTTCCATCAACAGTGAAGTGCCTCGATGTTGGTGTTCAAACCTTTATCTCCAGTGACATCTGGACTACCTTGACTCTGGAGCGGTTCCCATCAATTTTTAAGTTCAATTGTACAGTTCATTCCTGCATCACCTAGTTCAATATTCATACTTAAGTAAGTATAGCATGGAGAAATCAAAGCTAAATTAGAGAACTAGGATCACGAGGGCAATAGCAAGATCTCGGAGAGGATTTGTATGTGTGTATTGAAGGGCAATGACTATGATTCTCCCAGCTGTTATGCCAAACACTTGCCCCCCCCCCCCCTTCACAGCCCGAACGGCGAAAGCTAATTCGTGGTCTTCTATGGCTTTCTCGCATAAACAACATGCCTAGAAGGTGATAAATTCAGTCAGGCTGACAGAGTCTTATTCTTTCTCCAATAATCGAGAGGAAATGGCAACGAAGCTTACAGCTTGATGTAGGGTTGAAGCTTTAGGTCTCTAACGGACTTTTGCATCTCACTCATAAACACCACGATCTCGGCATACCCCCAGCCCATTACCTCTCAAAGCAGAAAGCTACCAAAGCTTTCAAGCGATTGATCGAGGTACTGTAGGCGGCAGGCACCCACTTCCTTGAGAGTCGACTCTTTGGCCAAGCACCGATAGGCGCAGCCCACTGCTGCTCAACAATGCCAACAAAGCCTGCAGCTTCTAGACCTTTGGCGATACCATGATTGCGGCTTTGAGTCCCCGTCTTTCCCAATCGATCCATAGCCTTCAGCATCACTTTGCCCCATCTTTCGTTGACGCGGTCTTCGTTCAGCTCAGGAAGAACTTGGGAACACAGTTCCACGTCTATCTCCTTGACCTCGACAAACCCGCCCGACTTGATG